TATTTCTATTGCCTTCTCATCACAAGATTTTTTAAAATTATCTAACACAATTCTTACTTTGTTTTGTAATTTTCTATAAAGCTTTCCTACTCCAAAATAATACATAGATTTTTTAAAATCACTAAATATGCAGCTCAATTCATGACTACCTGGAAGCAAGTCCCAATGAGGTTAAGAGAAGAATGTTAGGAAACATTGGATTACATGCTGAAAAAATGAGAATACAATTTAAAGGCAATTTAAACATGGGTAAATGCCAGCTAAGGTGACATAAATATAGGAATGGAAGGAAATATAAAAGCTTGCCAAAAATAAAATACCCTGAACATTTGAAAGAGTGAGGGCTCCTTGGTGGTCTCTGAGCTTGCTTGTTTTCTTGCAGATATTTCATTAATTTAACTAGGTAACCTCATCAGTGCTAGTAAGGAATGCTGTTTTCTATCAGTTTATATTAGAACTTCTTTGCATTTGAAAGCCTGTCCATGTGGGTCTTAGAGATTCTTTGGTTGGGCTGTTTACTGATGGCTCTTGATTGGGGTATTGTTTACTTGATTGTTGGTCTGAAAGAGTTGCAGAGAGATGATTCTCAAACTGTAGTGCCACTATTAAGAAGGCCCTGTTTTAAATTGTGGGGTGCACACCTCATCTTCTGTTTTGAAATCTCTCTGAAACAGGTACTGAAATAAGGAACAATTTATATGGTAAAGTGATAAGTACAATTTTCTCAGCCTCAATCCAGACTATACTGATGATAAAGACTGATATAGAATTAAAGGAGCTGTGCGCTTTGCACGCTGGATGTTATGCAACGAAGACAGTTATATAAATGGAAAAGATGTCAGCTTTTCCCAAGACACAAGGAAGACTTCAAATATAGGCCATAAATATAAGAAACTCCACACACCCTTCAGCATCCATTTGGCCTCTCACAAGTTTCTTTTATTTCAGATCAACAAAATGTTGCAGTAAGGCTGGCAGTAAAACAGAAGATGCACACCAAGGCACAGATTTTATTATTGTGAATCAGTCCTGCTATACAGGAAATACCCAGATTAGACCACTGCAGAAGTTTTCCTTCATTAAAAATGACAATAGACACTTTCAGACAGATTCAGATTTCTACAATAAATTTCATTCTTCAGTTTACAGACGTTTTTTAAAACATATATCTGTCCCCTGTTTTATAGTTCTAAAAGGAAAAAACAGGGATGGAGAAAACCCACAAATCTTTAACTGTCATTTATCTTTATTACATTATTAGATTATAAATATTAGACACATATATTCTAGAATATGGGTCTATGCATGATTATATAGTTATATACACGTTCTTTTTATGCAACTTGCAAAAATGATATGCAATTTGACTTTGCTAACATTGCCTGTGTTGTGACAGAATCTTGTTGCAAAGAAGTAATTATCTCTTGCACCCTAATAAAATCAGACCTAGTTGTATACAAATATCATTCATGTGCATTATCTTTTAAATCTATTCATTAGAAAATATAATATACATTTTATATATTTAATAAAGTAATTTTAAATTTTACCTCTATCATATACAAAATATAGCAATTCCAATACCATTGAATGGAAAGCTAACATATTCTTTACTGATGGAATTGGAAGTCTGAATCATCATCTATATCCTCTTGTTGTATTAGAGGTGAAATAATTATTTTAGATACTTTTTAGTAGACTTTGTATTGATTCAGAGGTAACAGATCAGCTTTCATTTACACAATGCACCTACAGTTACTATCACTGAATTCTTTGCTAAATTTCCAATAATTGTTTTATAACAATTATATAATTTCCAATAGTTGCTTTAAAACATAGTTTCTGAAATGTATCTGTTTTATGTTAAATTATTTTAGTTTATTAATTGTTCTACATAATGTGAAGAAGCATATAGATGTTATCCTAACAAATTACGAGACTATCTTGTCTTCCAATAAAATGCATTAGCATATATATGTTATACTAGCAATTACATAAGTATGCTCAGTTGCAATATATAGAATCAGCTTACATGTTATGGAACAGATTTCATTAGATTAGAACTTCTTTGCATTTGAAAGTAACAGTCTAGTTAATCTAGAAGCTAGCTATGCGGCAGTTGAAACATTGTCAATGATGCAATTTGGCTGCCTTCATAGTTTGGAAAGAGGAAGAGATCCCTTTTTCTCCTTAATTAAAATATGAACAACCCTGACCACAAAATATTTTCTAAAATGTTTAAATTTATTTTTAAATCTTGGATACAAAATGATTAATGAATTGGTTTTGTAATTACAGTGTCTCTCTTTTAATGTTTGTATCATTCTTCAGAAAGAAATATCTAAGGTTGGAGATTATTTATATTAATTTTATGATGAAGCCAAATTGTTCTCATTTTTCTCTAAACCTCCTTTCCTATATAATACAGACACTACATGTTTATTTTTTTCTGTTAATATATTTTTAATTTTTAGTTTACATATTATCCCCTTTTTTGGAAAATTTCTAAAATGTTTCTTTTGTCCTTTCCAAAAGATACTTCTCTCTATTGGAGATTCTGATCAGTCATCCAGCAAATGGATTGTTCTGTGCTTTGCACAAGTGTTGCCACAAAGTGCTGGTGACTAAAAGGGCATATGTTACATTGACATAACAACCATAGTGGTTAATGATGGTTTTTCCTCCCAGAATGCTTAATCAACTTTTGTAAAGTTGATTATTTACCAAATAAACAAAATCTATAATATGAAGTGCAGAGGGAAGATCCAAACCTAAATATGAGAACTGAGAGAGATTGTCTCAGAATGCATCTAAAAATTATATGGTAGCTGGAAAATTTAGCTAAATTGAATACATGGCTCTTGTGAGACTTAAATAAGAGAACCAAGTCAATAGGGATTGAAGGAGAAACTGATTAAAGCCAACAACGTTTCTGTAGCCTATATTTTCAACACAGATTTGGTAGTTGTACTTGAGACTGGCTATAATACTGAATGGAATTCTTCATTACCCAAAAACATATAACATTATACTTAAAAATTGCACATTTTTTCCATAATGTTCAATTAACTTTATAAACAAGTTATTATACAGATATTTTCATCATTTTATTTTTTAAATCGTCTAGTAGTGCCCATTGTATAATCTAGCCAGTTTACTGCAGTGCAGTTTTTTAAAAAGCCCAGCTACATGTTATTGTTCTCAGATCATTTAGAAATTAATTGATTATCAAAGTATATTGCAATCATCCTTTTAAGTGGAGTAAAGCTAAAATTATATTTTATTTAGCTATTTGTTGACTTTCTTTTTGTTAACAGTGATAATGTGACACTTTATACAACTTGCTTTCTTGTGTGCCTCTTTTATCTCCATTTAGTTTTTGATTTTATATATAAAAACTCAAGATGAAAGCAGTTCCTTATCTTTAATTTGCCAAGGCATACTCTATATTCCTGTCAGAATATAACAATAACATTATTGTTACATTATTGTAATATTTCTGATGCATAGAAAAATATTTGCTGCATAAATACAGTTATAGTTATGTAACATATGAACTATTCTTAATAAATATCCAATCTAACTTTTTGAATACCGCTGTTTTCTATATCTTGCTTACTTGCAGAAAGCAAAATCTAAATGTTCCTACCACATTTTTGTGTTTATTATTTTTCCTATTTCCAGCATGCAAGTGGAAATAATGTACTAAACATTTGAATTTCTGTAGTTGATGAAGTAATTCAGTACATTTAATGCTGTTTATATCCAAATAAATTTGAAAATCGTGGCCTATTATAAATCCTATAATTTGGAGTATGAAAAAATGGCCTTGTGGTAGGTTGTTTGCTAAGTCTTAATTTACACCCATAGATGGCAGTCTGATTTCACTATAGAAAACTTGGACTCTTAGTTCAAAGTGTACACAAGGTATGAGGGAAAATTATGCTGATTATCTGTAGGGTGCATGTACCGTATATGTTTAGACTGGAGGAGAATGAACAGTTCTGTGTTTATGAAATATACAAGAAGTTAAGTGACAGCTTATAATTATCTTCATTAATGAATGAGGATAAAATGCTCCTTCGTAAAACTTACTGTGGATCTCATTTTACTTTAAATGTATAGTGGGAAAGACTGAAATGTGATTATGGAATTTCAAGGTATATATTAAAAAGATAAATTACTGAAAACGAGGACTCCCAATTCTTATAGTGATACTACTAACTACTTGTTTGCATAACCTAAATTTTTCGTCATTTTATGTGATGTCCCCAAAAAATAAAAATATTGCAAAGCACTCTTGTGCAAATGTTTTCCTATCTTTTCCTAAATAGTCACTTATAGAAACTATGTTATTTTTCTTAATTCAGTTCTCTGGACATTATTTTTTGGTACTTCTATAGGAGAAAAAAGAGCTAAGGCAGTATGTTGAATTAGCCAATTTAAGAGTGTTTGGGAAAAAACACCTTTGGTGAGATTAGGGCCTTTGTCTGTGCTTTAGATTATCTATCCAATTGTCTGTCTGTCTGTCTACACTTGTGTGTGTGTGTGTGTGTGTGTGTGTGTGTGTGTGTGTGTAAATTATAAAACACAAAAAATACAAACATTAAAGGAAAAAGGGAAGGGGATAAAAGGATAAAGAAAGAGTGACTAAAAATCATACATTAAAGCAGATATATATAAAAATGTGACCTCTGGCTTTCTTCAATACAGAGACAATAAAATACAACAAACTCCTCTAAATTCAAATGAATAACATCAATATTTTAAAACCTTTCAAATACAGATAATCAAGGTTAATATTAAATAATATTCATACATTCTTAATTTAAATTTCATCTAATGCATATATAAACTATATATAAATATATGATTTATCAACTGTATATAAATCATAACCATATACTTAACAATTCATAATATTTCTTTAACCAAATCAGATCTAATTCTCAATCCCAGAGTCAAAAACTCATTTTTCTCCTTTTCTTGTAGGAAATCTAACAATGGTTTTCCAAGCCTCAAGAAATTTAGCCAAATTACTGTCTCTAATCAAAGGGATCACTTTGATCATCTCAGCTGGTTCCATTAATTTCAAGATCCATTCCTCCACTATAGGTATTTCATTCGTTCGTTTGTTTGTTTGTTTGTTTATTCAGTTTCTATAGCCGGCCATCTCGCTCAATGATTCTGGTTGGTTTACAAATCAAAAAATACAATTACAATTAAAATACTAAAAACATTTTAAAACAATAAAAAAGATGTTCCTCTTTCCATCTTTGTACATATAATATCCTTGCAGCTGATGTCATGCATAAAAAGAAAGTCCTATGTTTTCCCCTGTTTGTCAGCCATCCCTAGGATCCCCACAAGTATTGAATCACAGATAGAATTCTTTATTGGCCAGGTGTGATTGGACACACAAGGAATTTGTCTTGGTGCATATGCTCTCGCTGTACATGAAAGAAAAGATACATTCGTCAAGAATCATAAGGTACAACACTTAATGATAGTCATAGGGTACAAATAAGCAATCAAATCATATTAGGAAACAGTCAATAAAAATCGTATACGAGCAACAAGGTTACAGTCATACAAATCTAGGGAACTGGCCAATCTTCACTTTTCCCAATGCTGGTAGTCCTTTGTTTAGCAACTGTTTCATTTAGTGATTGTTTGCCGTTATGACAGTGATAAAAAAGTAACTTTATGACCAAAGCTCGCATTTATGACCTTTCCTGGTCTATAAAGCAAAGGAAAGCTGAACTAAAATCGTAATAAGCACAATCACAGTTTCACTTAGCAATTGCTTCATTTAATCAGTGAGTTGCTTTCCCCAATTGTGGTCACTAAACTAAGAGTACCTGTTAACAGAACAGCCTTCTACTCACTTCTATGCGGTACCACTAGAACTAGCACTTAGACTTATATATCACTCCATAGTTCTTCACAGCACTCTCTGAGGGGTTTACAAATGTCAGCATATTGTTCCCAACAATCTGGGTCCTCGTTTTACTGTCCTTGGAAGAATGGAAGGCTGAGACAACTTTGAGCCCCGGCAGGATCAAACTCCAGGCTGTCAGCAGAATGCTGTGTTCTAACCACTGCACCATCACGGCTCCATGCATCATGATGTCAGACACATCATGCATGTTTTGGAGAGATTGGTATATTCAATAAGCTGATATATTATTTTTTCCTCCCCTCCACACATACACCCTATGGAAGAAGAACAGCATAAATAAGATACGCATAATACAAGTCTCCTGCTTTACCCAGGACATGCAGGATTGAAGGAAGGTGCTTCTACATCATCATGTACTACGCTGATCAGCCTTTTAATCCATATGACATGCAAACTGTTACTTTAGTTTGATTAATATACTACATGCTTGGTACTACACTCAGTGTGTTAGGTATTACATAAAATGTACAAATTCCATTGCCAATCAAGAATGCCAGTACAGATAATCCTTGATTTACGACCACAACTGAGCCCAAAATTTATGTTGCTAAGCAAGACAGTTGCAATACAGGTAGTCAACCTTACGACACTTACTGTTCTTGCTTGCTTCCTGCCCTTTCACTTGAGTTTTGCTCCATTTTAAAACCTTTCTTGCCACACTTGTTAAGCAAATCACTGCAGTTGCTAAATTAGTAACATGGTTACTAACTGAATCTGCTTCCCCATTGACCTTGCTTGTCAGAAGGTCAGAAAAGGTGATCACAAGGCCCAGGGACACTGCAACCATCATAAATATGAGCCAGTTGCCAAGCATCTGAAATTTGATCAGATGACCTTAGGGATGCTGCAACAGTCATAAGTGTGAAAAACAGTCATAAGGCGCTGTTTTCAGTGCCGTTGTAACTTTGATCACTAAACAAACTTGTAAGTTGAGGACTATATAGAAAGGGCAGAAGTGAGCAGGAAGGAAGGAAGCAAAAATAGCGTAGTAATGTTGAAAGAAAGTAAAAAAAATACAATATATACACTCTGTCTTCGTAAGATCTTTGCCCCCCCCCTCCAAAAAAATGGAAATAGGAAGCAGATGACTTGAAAGACAGTAATGAAGAAAAGGCTATTTTAGAATAAAGACATAATGACAACCTGAGGACAGAGAAAGGGTGAAAAACGTAAGAGGAAGACAGGGAAATATCCGCGATTTGTATTTAAAATAAGAGATTGCATCCACTTAAATGAAAATAAGAATTTGAAGATGATTCATAAAGTTGCAAAGTGCCAATGAAAAGATTAACAAAAAGAGAGAGAAAAAATGATAGGAAAGATTAACACTAGCGGTTGTCATCTAACCTCATTGTCCTGAAAGCCTTTGCTTTTGGCTTTCCCTTGCCAGGTAGTCTTACGGTGTAAAAAGGTGTACTTCTGCTTGAATATTCCAAGAACATCAGTAGAACAAATATTACAGCCATGATACCAAAGCATTTCCATACACTTCATCAAAGATACCTAGAATCTGATGGTAGGTACTGTGCTTTCTTCTTTAGATATTGAAATTGAAAATGAGATTTTATGAGGATTGGGTGAGGGTGTCTATTGCTTTATATGTTATATGTTAGAACCCCAGCCAACAAAAGAGAATAATAATTTTGAGGAAAATGTAAGAGACATGTATTTGTCTTAGTTTTCCTAGAGATTATTTTTTAATGAAGTTTTCATACAGATTTCCTTTTTGCTATATAAATAAATACTAAAATTAGACACAAAAATGAAATCTGTTCATTTTCATATAATCAATACTGTTAGAATTGTAGGATATTTTTTGAAGGCCCAAAAGACATTAGTGAGAAAATAAAATCTTAGAATATTTAATTGGCCAAAATATATCCCTTTGTGCTATTACAAGCAATAGAAACAAAGTATTTAGAATTAAGACACAGAGCCAAGTTGTTTTAAGTACAACTGAACCATGAATAAATCTGACCTGGTAATAGGAGCTTTGCAGCTTTAAAAATGAAAGATGAATAGTTAATTATTATTTTATTCTTCACCAGCTTAATTCTAAAACGTTTTGTTACAAGCAGAATAATAAAATCATTTATATACTTCATTTATAAATGACACATTCTTCAAAAAAAGTTATTTGATTCATTTGTAAGGCTATTAAGCAACCTAAATTAAGAAATGAACACAACATAAAAATAGAGATCTTTCTCTTAATTATTTGTGGCAACCATGTTCTATTAAATGTATGTGAATGTTAGTTTATAAATTATATAATTTATAATCTTGGATATATTAAGATGCAGTCAAGGGATCTATACTTGCAATTATTTTAATTCATAAAAGCAATACTAAATACATTTGAAGGAAATTATACATTGTATTCAGCTAAGTACAATTTATATCTTAACATAAGCAGAATTGTTCTGTAAGATAATGTTCTGTAACGTAACAATAATGCATGTCACATAAAAATAGAAGGTTTTGTAACAGGAAATTCTGAATTAGCATGGGCTCAAATGTACTTTAATATCCTGGTACAACCGCTTATTTATAAATTGTTGCAGAATTTTAAAATGTGTACATTTGTAGTTTTGATAGGCAATAGAAAGCTGCTTAAATTCTGAAGGACATAAGTTTTGGGTGCTTATCATTTTATTTGCATCTTAAGCTGACACTGAATATCTTGAAGCTTTTAAATGTTCTTTATTGCTGATATTGATGCAATGTATGAATTCTAAGTATTTCTATGAAAAAGCAAAGGTGACAGTAGGTTTTCTACTAAGATAATTTCCCCATCTTTGGAGAAAAAAATACATACTGTTATATAGTTGACGTGTTCTGCAGGATCGAGTTGCACGATACAAAGCATCTCAGTTGAAGGCATATTCCTGCCTAGCTAAAAGAGACCTCATTTCATGTTCACTGTTACATAATGAAATATAGACGATCATGAAATAGCAGGAATAGGAATCTTGTTTAAATGTAGCCATTTGTTTTACTTTCCAAATTGAAACCATATTGTAGGGGGCTTTTTTTGAAAAAATAACAAAACTGATTTAAATTTAAAATAGGTAAAACTGCCCGTGTCTTCCTTATACTGAAAAAGCTATAAAGGCTGGGATTCTCTTAATTTACACCGAGTTGAGCATTGCTCCTTTGGACCAGAAGTATTTGGGAAATATCAGACATAGCTCAGCAAATTGCCAGATTCACGGGGATATATTTCTTCTTATTTATCATCTTTTTGATCCACATGTCCTGCACAGAATTAATTACTAAATTTTTAGCTGCTGTTCATTGGAACATTGGAAATTGAATCTGTGACATGTTGTAATTTTCCTTTTTTTTTCTTTTTGGTCATGTGCATTTTAAAAAAATCATGTTCTTCAGTTACTGATAAGTGAAAGATTTCATTTTTTGCAATATATCCATACAGTCAATAAGTTTATAGCTGTGTTACAACATACTAAATTCAGGTTTATGGAAAAAATAACACAACTGTAGCATATCCATATGCATCCCAGTATTTACCTCAAAAATTGGTAGTAGTTTAAACCCTTACATTGATTTGCTTTTGCTTCTTCCTATTATGTACAATGGTGCCATGCTTTGAAAAACCTTCTAAAAAAATTAGTTGTACCTAATTTTTATGCATGCTTTAGCTTTAATCAAAACTCATTTTTAAAAAACATTTTAAAGTACAGTTGTTCGTACCATTTAATGAACTCCTGTTTTTTTCAAAAACATTTAAAATTATGATGTTTTAATATATTTGTTTCTGTATATATAAATCAAAATAAGAAACCTGGAAATTGTGATGATAAATTTTAGTGTAGATTGCTATAGTTTAAAAAATATGGATTAGAGTTGATAAGGAAACATAATTATGGAGGATAAAATATCTAGTCGGGCTAAATAGTGTTTAAGAGTGAAAGCATGTTTAAAGGATAACAGCTCTGTATTTTAACAATGAAAAATAATATATACTTTAAAAACATTTTTGTTATCAGTCTCTGCAATTGTGAAAATTTTATTTCACATAAGAAAAATAGATCTTGCAACAATTTATAAATCTTATCTCTTTGAATTAAACAATTTTTTTCTTGAAATTTGCCAAAGCTATTCATATAAATATAGAAAAACCATATTCTTTCTCACTGAAAAGGTGAATCAATGACAAGACCATAAATATTTGTGCAATATGGGCTGTCAGATTTTTTAGTTTAAAGGGCTTTCCTTATTTTAAAGGCTTGTTTCTTATTCCAGAACATTTTAGCTCCATTAACATAATCCTAATATTCATTTGAGTTGCATAAAAATTCAGACATTTCTCTTTAGAGGTCTGTTGTGCTTTTGAAATGTTGATCTGACAATTTAATTAAAATAAAACTTACAACAATTGTATCCAGGATTGAACAAAAAAATAGCTACCAGCCTTCAGCTCCTATTGCAACTGTACACTTATGCCTCACTTTTCTAGTTTAATTTTCCTTCCTGTTTTCTAATAGTGATTACTGACACACACACAAACACACAAAACAATAGCAACAACAATTAACACTTACATTCTTTTATATTTGCTGCTAAACCTGGGAATTCACTCTCAGATGCGTTAGTTCATTATAAAAGTTCCCAGCCAAATATTGTTCTCACTTCATTCTTTCTATGTAGACACAGTGAGGCTAAAAACACATTGTTGTCATGATGGGCAAGCTTGAAAATATAATATTTTTGGCTACAATATCTACAATCCTACTTCAGCGGTGCCCATAATTTTAGATATGTCAATCACAATTTTGATATTGAATGGATGATCTTAACTGTATATCGCAAACTATTTTTGACTCCTAGCTTCAAGCTAGAGGTAGTGTGTAATAAGGTTGCTCTCTAGAATCATCTTTGTCATATTGAAATAGTGCAATATGGGTTTTGGGTTTCTTATCACCATTGCATCTTTTTTGTTTCACCATAGTATCTTACTTTAAATTGCATTTCTTTGGGAACCATAGCATTTTTCCTGAAATACAACAGTTATTGAATGGCTAAATTGATATAATTTATTTTCTTCCACAGATTTTTTTTTTAATTTGAGAATATTTTTGTGAGCTCAATGTTTCTTTGAATGCTTCCTTTCCAGCTTGCCAAATAACATAAAGTTAGTGCGCATCATCCTTTTTTAAAATTTCAATAAGCTTCTACTTTTTTTAAAGTCAAGAATGGAATTGATGATAGAAAGTGAATAGTTTTAATCTGTGTATGCATACGCAGATAAAATTGTTCTAATAGACTGTGTATACCACTTTAGAAGAAGAAATCTTCGTAAGAGTGAAGAGCAAATTGAAATAAAATTATTTTGATAGTTCTGTTACCCCAATTATCGAATGGCTTCAAGATTTCCAGGGTGCTTTGAGTAGTTACTGCAAAGTAAAGTAATAATGAGAATCCTGGATTCCATATTTATTTTGGGTTTAGTCTACAAAAAATGGTATGCATTAGTTTCTTGAAATTTATTTTAACATGGTAAAGCAAATATTACCGTACTGGGAATATAAGATTAAGACTGCAGTTTTGACTGCAATCTATTTGATTAAATTAGTTTATATAAAACATTGTTATTCTGAGATACACGAATAATTAGAATTTATAAAATTAACAAGCGAAGGAAAAACACATCATTTTAGAAGACAGCCATTTCCTGTTTCCTTTCTCATAGGTTTCTGCTGTGATCTGTTTAGGCTGAATTTAATGACATGTGTCTTCCATATCAGTCTGCTAGTCCTATGCAAATTTATATAGATTTAGTTCCCAAGTGAAATTAGTTCCTAGGTTAAGTTTGTAAGAAGAATTTAAATAATATTTTTATGAACTGCATGAAAATGATATGAAATCTTATACTGCAAATAAGATAAACTTTTAAAAACATTTTATCAGCAAATATAAAAAAAGTAGGTGGTTCAGAATTCCCAATTTTACAGTGCAAATGTGTGCAATGCACAAAATAACATAACTGTCCTGTAGATTTTTGTTTTTACTATAGGGTTGCTCTCTTTGCAGTATTGAATTAAACTGTGTGTTGCATTGAGGCTGTAATCTTATACCAATTTACTTAGAAGAAAGAGTCCCTGAATTCAATGGAGTTACTTTTGAGTAAATGTACTATATATGGAAATACACTTATAGTATAAAGCATAAATAAAACTGTAGCACTTTTGAATCTATAAAATTAATTCATATATTAAATTGCATTTATTCAGTTTTATAATAGAAAATACTGCATCTACCTATGTACACGCTATTAGCTGAAAGGGCCATCAGAATCAATGTCATAGTAGCTATTGTATAGGATAAACAGCGTGTTCATTTTTATCATCTGATCAGCTGTTTTGAATATCTTGCACCATATATGCACCTTATTTATGCACTTAATGGAATTTGCTGTTCTCTGTCTCACACTCAACGATGGTGCGGTTTGGTTCAACAAGCTTTGTTCTATTTAAAGACAGAGGGCAGCAGAAACTAGCCAGTTATGAAAGGCCATAAGAAAACTAATTTTAATTAAGCTTTCCCCAAGCTTCCTTAATTTATAAGAGATATTGCAATAGTTCTGAAGGGCATCAAACTGGAGAAGGTGGAACAAATTATTCAGGCAAATCCAAATGATTTTGCCTTCTCTTGTGTTTCTTGTCAAGGAACTCAATATCATAAGTGATAAGATATTGTGAAACTTTGCCTGTGGCCTAGCCTCCCAAATAAGGCACAGGTCAGTCTAAGCAGGCCCACTGGGCAAATGCTGATTGTTGTCACAATGTTGGCCTGTGTTTAGTTGGATTCACTTTGTCTTTTTCCAAAGTCACTTTGGGGATTGCTTCTGGTACTCTGTCAGGAAATCAAGGTACACTGTGGGATTGGCACATAGAGAAATGCAGCACAGGAACAATCTGGTTCAAGGTCTCAGTCATTCACCTATTCCAGGCTGCAACCAAAGCCTTGTCTGAAGGGCCCAACAGATTTTTTTGGGGGGGACCCAAAGTTCCTTTAGAGCCCCATGAGGTCCATCAGTCACCCAATGTGGCAAATCTAAAGAGCTCTGTCTCATTTAATCATCAGAAGAAGAAGAAAGTAAATCTATAAGGGGCTAAACTATATGAATAATCCCGATATCCTGACTTTGGCATTGTGCAGCTTGATGCTTCCAAATGAACCAAGAGAAGAGCACAAGTAAATTAACCACGTCTCTTTTTTTTTCTTAACAATGCTCTGAACTATTTATATAAATTTAAAATGCAGGCATACACATGCAACCACAGTCCACCACCAATTTGTGTATCTCGAAAAAACAAGATGCAATCTAAGACTAATTCTGGATTTTTTTTCTCTCTCAAAGCTTAAGTTTAAAAAGATGTACATAAAAACTTCATTTGTTGTCCTTTTTCTCCCATAACACATCTCTAACTTACTACTGCATAATCTTTTTTGCAGTTCACAGAATGTGGTGTGAAAAAATGAGCCTGGCCAAAGTAACGGGATGTAACTGGAATAAAAACCACATTTTTCTGTAGCCACATTTTTTCCCATAAAGATGGTTTCCTCTGCATCATTTATTCACCCTCTGGTCTGCAAATTTCTAAATTTAATTCAATCTTTTACTAAAATCTGTCGTAGAGACCATAGAAAAAGCATAAACAGGGAACAGACATGTGATCCCAGCCTATGCTACTACGTAATGTCGGTGGCAAATCGGCAGGCAATCTGCTGAAAAATATCAAGATGGAGTTCATGTGACTTATGGGTAGCCTACTTGAGATCTATAATAAAACAAACTTAGAAACAGGCAGCAGTTTAGAAACTCCTCTTGTACCAAACAAGAAAGAAGGGGAGCAAAATGTAATCAAATCAGAGTGGCACGAACAATTTCAGAAATAAGAATTGCCTCATCTTTTATGTTCTAGAGCAATCTGTTCGAGAGTCAACTTTCCCTAGGGACCACAGGAGATGCTTTCATGCCCATGAAACTGACTTGAGGTTCAGAGAAGAGAGGAAACACAACATTCAAAAATCTCTAATTGTGTAGAAGCCTTCCATTTCCTTGTAGACAGATTTAGTTGACAAATGTTCACACTTGGAGCCTCGAAGGAAGAATAATGACCACACCTCCGATTTTCTCAGATGAAACTACACATAAAATATTTAATTGATTCTTCAGCAGTTGTGAGCCGGTGACAAAGGTAGACAGGTTGCAGTGGCCTCCTTTTAGCTGCAGTTTGGACCACACGCTCCACCAGAGGAGCCAGTCTGTCAGGCTAAAAAGGAGCTGAATTGGAAATACCAAGCAGCCATGGAAAGAAGGGTCCCTAGGAGGCACGACTCTTTAAAACCCAAGGCACATTTTAAACCTTCCCTCAGGCAGCTCATAGTTGATGTTTAATTATTTAGCAGACCACCTAAACTGACAATAACTTTGGCATCAATACATGAGGAATAGTCACAAAAGAACGAAACTTGTATCTTTTAAAACACCCTCTAATATACTGGATGCAGATGGGCTTTTCTTGATCAGAAAGCAGGCTTGGCTTGATGAGGCAGCAGCAGGGTTGCTCTTGTACAAAGGTAGCTATTGTAGACCCAAGCGATAAATAAAGAAATGCTTTTCTCCCTTTAAGCCTCTGTTTTTCCCTTTCTTACACTTAATGTGTCCCAGAACACTGGTGCCAAAGAGAAGAACCTTGTTTTGTATTGGGCCTTCGTTCTCTCTGTGTGTGTACACACACATTTGCAGGCAGGCATTCTTTTTTGCCTTTTAATGCTTTCAGTGTTATAGGACACTAGAAGGTTTGTGAAGCCCTTGGTGTGTTTGAAACACTTTGTGCCTTCGCTGTTTTTCCCCATAAAGTAAACAATGTTGTTTTGCTACCAAAGAGTAAACAATTTTTTAGCAGCTCAAGATGAGGCGGTAGCAGCTCCTTGGTGCTGGGGAAGTGGGTGCACCTGGTCCATGGCCTTGAATAGCTGCTGAGAATTTTCTCACACTCTGCCAGTGAACCCTCCACTTCATTTAGCAGCCCCTTAACAAGGCTGGCCTCTGTTCCCCAGGCAAAAGGGGCCGATGGGGGATTCTGAAAGAATTGGCCACTTGGATGAGTTTGGGACTGGTGAGAACAAGCAAAAGAATAACGTTTAAATGGCAAAGGAAAAGGCAGCCTTGTGCCAAGTATGAGCCCTGTGGTTGCAAGCTCCAGAAATCACTTCTGATGCTCTTCAGAAAATCCATGACTCTTGATAAGGGATCGCTTGGTTTGTAATTGAAGGCATAGGTGCTTCCAAAATGAAAGCTATTTTTTTCCCAAATACTTCTCTAGGTAACTCCTAAGAACCTAATCTTGTGGAGGGATCTCAACTGCAGTATGTCACAGGCCAAAACCATAATTTCTGAATCTAGAGAATTGGCCCATTTTTAGAAGTGATGCTAATTTCCTTTTACAGTATGCAAGCACTGAAGATGAAGAACAGCTTGGGCCTGAAAAAGATGATCAGACAATTTATAAAATATCAACTATACTAAACAGCTAGCTCAAATTCTGGGAATTGTAATTTGATGATAATTGCAGCTCTAAGTCAAAAGCTGTTTTTGTATCCACCTTTAAATTGTCAACAATGACCCACTGTTCTATTTTTACATTTTTGTAGTAGGTAAACTATATGCTCTATCAAAACCACAATTTTTGATATACTGATTTTTGATATACTGATCACAGTATAGATTGAAGGTCATACTGTTCAGAACAACCAGTGATACAAGGGCAAGATGGAGACTGCTGAAGTAAATTGTTAAAAATAAGCCACAAGCAAGATCTCCCGCACCCCAAAATTATTCTGTGCATTTAATTTTAGCATGGCTTGTTCCCGATCAATTTTTTGTACTGGATAATCCAGTCGTACTGGGTTGTTGTTGTTGTTTTTTCATTTCTGGAAGAATCCGAATCCAGAAGTTTTCCAACAGCAACATTCACCAGTTCTTTCTTCCCCAATGATCTTTATATCATTGTCCCAATGCTCTAAATAGTATCCAGTCCTCTGGAATCATGTAGCGGGAATATTGGGGGTCAATGGCTACAGTGCAACAATGAGAAACTGCTGTTTTGCTTTCTTCCTCTGGTGCCAGAGGATATGCTGTTTAGATCACGAATCCTTTTGGAGGAATAAAGTTACAGTGGAAGGGCTACAAAACAAGATCTATTCTAAAAGGATATTGCTAAGTACATGCTAGGCTAGAAACTAATAAGATATACAGCACATCTATCAAGAGTATTAGATATCTGGTAAGCATCAGGAAATGTATGTACCTATAGTACTGCAGAGGCAGTGGAGGAAACTCTCAAAGAATTCTGTATACAGTACAATTTTTGCATAAAATTATTTGAAACACAATACATAGGAGATAGATTAATAGGGGTTTGAGAAGTGATGGGGTTTTTTTTTTTTTTTTTGGCTTATTGTCATTAATGCTTATATTGCTTTGAGGAATATAAACACGGCCTTTACATGCAAACTTCATTGAATTGACAACAGTGGAACCAAATCAATTGCCTAATAGGATACAAATATGAAGAAGTACAATCCAGCCAGCCAAATACTTTGGGGGCAGATTATTGACAAACCATTAATTATTGGTGTTGCGTAAGTAGGTTAAACTTAGAGAATTACAGACAGCAGATGTGCCATTAATGTATGACCTAGAAAATACACAATCAGAATATAAGATCAATGTTAGAAATAAGGTCCCATATGGTTAACATATGTGAAAAAGCAACTGAAAAGCTATGGGAAAAGATAAGAAACACTGTCCATACTACCAAAGCAAACCAACATTTTAAAAAGAAAAAACATCTTAGTGACTGGCAGAACAAGCCAGCATGACAGTGTGGATAAAACAAAGCTCTGGACAATGACTGACTACAAACTCCCAATATCCGGCTAAGACATCTTCAGCAAGAATGCTAACATGCAGAGGAATGTAACAATAGAAAAGTGAAAGATCTTTTTAAGAAGATCAGAAGAATCATAGGAAAACTTAACATCTATGTAAGGAATACTTAAAAGAGTAATTATGGAAGAGATCTAATAGTGGCAAATTATTTTAAAATAAGATGTAAAGAAACCCATTATAAACAGGATTATAAAATGAAGGAAAGATGAAAGATTTTGGAACCATCCCTAATAAAAAGTGAGGAATAGAGGAGCTGTCAAATATGGAAGCATCCAGAATAGATGAGAAATTAAAATATTTAAATATTTAAGCCTGTGGAGTAACATCTATATAACACTTATTATAGAGAGCAGACAACAGAATTTCATTTTTAATGTGTGACAGAGTGCCCAAAGAAAAAATGACAATAAAGGTTATCTTACAACAAATATGAACAAAGTTGTGTAATAATCTAGCTTTTTTTGACATAATTCCATTTATTTAATTTTGGCCATGCTTGTAAGTGGAATGTTGCTTAAGATTTACAAAGAAGAGTAGAACCATGCAGAAATAACACCCGAAAAAAATCAGACTTTGAAAAAGGCAGAGGGGCATGAGATTAGAAATGAAGGCATTAGAAGGCATCTTTGCTTTATTGAGAGGCCTTTGACAAACAGCCTCTGCAGGGCTGGGTCAAAGACAAGATGGTGGTTACAACATTACAATTAAAGCCCCACCACTTTTGTAGGACAATAATACTGCATTCCCCCAGAATAGCGAGGTTTTACTTTGACCGTCATCTTGTCTGTTTTGACACACTTCCCCTGCCCCTGGATGCTGTGGCACTTGAACTGTTTGAATCACGCTAGCATGTATGTTAAGGTTGGTGACCGTGACAGAACACCTGATTATTCTTCTAGGGAATCTTTACAGTGAGCAAGAAGCCGCCATAAAAATTTAATCTGGACAAAAACAGAATGCTTTCGAATATGAAAGGGAATGAGACAAAGATCCTTATTGTCCTCATAATCTGCTAAACCTACGCAGTGAATATACAGCATGAGAACTAGTAGAGATGAGAGCTAGTAGGGGCTTCTGGGTGAATGTTACAGCTGGTTAGATGTCTCTACCAGTGTCTGTGCAAGCAGAGGCAGCCCAGCAGTGGAATTCCCAGGCAGGAGATGGTTCTGGTTGAAAAATTTCTCCAGAGGAAAGAGAAATTAGGGATCACCCACACAAGCTCTGGAAGAGCTGCTTCTCTCAAGGAGGCTGCAGGACATTAGTTTCTTATGGTCAATCGTGAGGCAAGCGGCTTGGGAGTTAAGGGATTTACAATGTGCCCTAAATTGCTGCACAGCCTTTATAGTCTTTTGACCTTCCAAAAGCCTCACCTTCTTAATCACTATACAATTTAATTGCTTTACAACATAAGAGAGATATTCCAAATAGCATAGAAGATCAAAGACTCTCTGAGTGCCTTCTTTTTGAAATTTAAGAAGAGAAAAATAAAACCCTGATATCTTAGAGGATTTTAATTTAAAAAGCAAAACGCTTAACAAGATTGTGATATAAGAAAGTTTTACATGGACAAGGGACATTTAAAAAAAAAATAAGAAAAACTATTTTTTCTGATGAAACTGCCTTTGAAAATAGAAACACTAATTAGAGTAAAAAATTGGATCTTTATGGAAATATTGATAGTTTATTTTAAAGGACAGTAATAATGGATGGATTTTACAAAACCAGAAGATAAGAGTAATATGAATTGGACTATATGACTGAATATGGAGAGACAATTGGGACTAAAATGTTAAATATAGGGAGAAGAAAATAGAAAAAAGAAGCCTGCCTTTTACGTTCTCTGTAGTAATTAACATACTTTTACTTTCTTACCATGGCAACCACAAGGAAAACTGTCAAATTGGGAGAAGGATATGGGGGTTCATTGGAACAATTTACAGATAAGGACATTTCATCAGATTTGTTGCAGAAATTGTTTAACAATTTGGTAAAAAGTTAAAAAGGTAAAGGAAGAAAGGTTTGCATGGATGAAAAAAGATCAGAAAAAAGTTAAGAAAATTGAAAAATCTATAGGGCCACTGGCTACAGATTTCAAACAAATTATTGACAAGGTGGAAGATTGGGGAAGTAGGATAGAAGTTATACAGAGAGTTGGAGATGGATTTGGACAGTTTGGCATTATTGGAACTTAGAGAAAAAATTGCTTAAGATTTAGAACAATTCTAGAAGAACATGGAGAGGATATCAGAGAAAAGATTGGCAAGTCTCTGTTGATTTCCTGAGTTGAGATTGGGACCTTATACAAAAGTCAGGAAATACTGCAGAAAGATTCCTGATAGTTGGAAAGAGATTATAATGTTACCTAATGAGGGACAGGAAATTATCAACCAATGTCTTTATTGAATAATGATTACGAACTCTTTTGGCTGAAAGACAACAAATAATTTTACAGGATTTTATTAATGAAGATCAATGCAAATTTTTACATAAAAGGCAATTACAAAATAATGTTAGAAATGTTAATATTCTGCAATAGTTGGAGCAAGACATAATGAAAAGTAACCTGCATTGATCAATGCAGAGAAGCTGTTTGACAATTTGAATTAGATTTTTTGTTGTTGTTTAGAATTCTGGAACATATGAACCTAGGAAATAATGTTATTAGGTGGGTAAGG